TAAATTTCTGGTTCCTGAAGACACAGTAGTCATGACCACACTACTGCAGATATTATTACAACAGTATTAGGCCTAGTCTACAAACAAATCATACCAAAATATGAGCATACAGTTGGTATTATTTGTGTGACATAACGTTTAGAGTAATGCAATATGGAACACATCCAGTGAAATATAACCGACCACTGATTGTGTTGATTCACTTGTACGTAAAATTGCAGTCATCGAAAGTTGTCCTCCCCGATTTTTCTACCCGTATAACAATTAGTTTTTTTTTCTGTTTTTCATTCTATTTTTGGAAACACCGTCGCATTTATAATAAACTTTGTATCCGTGTTTGCATGAATAAAACCTTAGGGGCCTTATTTTATGAAAACTTTTTTATTTTCTCCTCGGTAATGTAACGTGGCATATAATTGTTGCGTGGAGGTCAAGAAGTCAAGGACTACGTCTATATTACGCAAAGGTATATATTTTACTATCCACCCTGTAGTATGAAGTGTAGATTTTCGAACATGAGTATCCTGGGGGGAAATCCCCCACCTTCATGAACACAGCACATGTGAGGGTTGTTACCTGTATTTGTTAATTGATGTTTGCTTTGCTATCAAGATTAGTTCCAGGATAAAGGTCTGTTGAGTGCACTTATGCGTTGTCTGAGCGCTGGGACCCGGACCGTTCCAGCATGTGATTATACGCAGTCTTTTTAACCCCCGATTGATACGCTCCCAGCGAGTGCCAAAACGTCTGAAATTTTCTGTGGTCATTGTGTGCACGGGGGAAAATGCCGATTAGTGGACGAATAGGTTGAAATATAATGACAAAATACTCGCTGGATTCCTTATCTCGGGTGAAGTCTTGCAGACGGAAATTCGACGTGAAATTATCCATGCACTGCAAAATAAGAACATGTAATTCATACTGCTTTTCATTTTAGTGAAGAAAAATAGTGGGGAACACAATATCGTCAATATCCCCCCCCCAAAAAAGCATCGATTCTGTTCGACCGGTTTTTCGTCTTTTGAAGAATATGCAAAGTTAGCTTTCCCATGGCGCTATTCATTTCTTTCTTCTGGAGAAGACCAGGAAAAAACCTTAAATTCGCTGAAAAAACACATATTCAATTACAGAGCAAAAAATGTCGGAGCAAACCACCAGCTAAAGAGGCACATCGTGTGAAACAGCAGTTTTCACACTGCATGCCATATTGCCTTTCTTGTCAATAAGCCATCTCTTTTTAAAATCTGTCTGTCGTCTTGCTCCTCACATAGAATGACCGTTAAAAGGTCTTGTTTTAAACTGACTATTGTTAAACTGAAGAGTGGGGAAATGAATGCGCGTTTGCTCATTTTAATACAAAATCGTCTCGAACACGACCTTTCAGTAGTTCCTCAGGGTAAGGGCTGCAGGGAAATAGAAAGAGAAAGAAAGAAAAGAGAAAAAATGAAGGCAAAAAGTTTACAGATTTCAGGCTTTTTACTGAGCCTTACCTATTCCTCTTCACTAACAGTTTTTAGCCATTTGTTAGGAAAGTAAGCAAAACGTGTTTTCAATATTCACTGTATATTAAATTTTGGCCTTGTTGAATTAGGTCAACGTGCCTTTGCAGTCCGAGTTGAAACATCGAAGCTCTGGTCGTACTGTTTGCATTTCTGATTGGGCGTGCACTCACTGATGACGATAATTAAACAAAAAATACTTGCTCAAACCTTTTGTCAACAATGGCAGATAGTTATTAAATTTATCTTCTGTCAGCAGTTTTACCCGAGCTACTTTCTCCGAGGTATACTTGTATGTGAAATGCTCCGAGGTCAGCTCAATCAGTTTAGATTTTTATAAGATTTGGATTGATGTATTTATCCAGAAAGTTACAATATGTGAATACGAGAAGACTTATTTGACCACTGAAATCATAACCCATTTCTAGCCTAGTCTGTTTTTCGCGAAGTTGTCCAGTTAAACAAAGTAACGGCTTGCGGGTGTTCTGCTCTCAACTCGCTATTGACTAATTTAATTATCTTGAAGGCCACAACAGCTGCCCAGTGCTCAAAACTGTTTCCCCCGGTGACTTCTGATCGGTGTCTGATCGGTTTTCATGTTTTTTTCCGGATTCTTGTGCCCCCCTTTCGAAATCCACCGCAGAAACACTTCGTGTTGTTACAATATTTCAGGAGAAGTCAGAATGACTCTATCAATCGACACGTTTCGTGTCCATAAAAAGTGTTGACAAGGATGTACAACTGAAATCACTGATAGACTTACACCTACGGCTATCTTCCCCGCCTCTAGAGTGGGGGAAACTTTTCAGGAGAAGTCAGAATGACCGTATCAATCGACACATTTTGTGTCCATAAAAAGTGTCGACATGGCTGTACAATTGAAATCACAGATAGACTTACACCTACGGCTATCTTCCCCGCCTCTAGAGTGGGGGAAACTAAATGTGTGCCCGCTGAATGCAATACAAAAACATTGACAGTAGAAATGACCCTACTCAATTCCATTCGCCCCTCAACAGTTGGTAAGGATGTAAGCATTCACATTTACCGTAAAGGCATTTTATTCCGTTGCAAGCCAAAAATGAGTATGCGCTGGTTTGGACAACCATGTATCCATGAAATAAAGTAACATTAAAAAAAACCTTCCGCATACTGTAAGCGCCAGCCTTGTTTCCTCCGGTTCCCCTCTATCCCTGCTTATGTTTCTTAAAAGCTAAGAGTTAGTTTAATTTGTCCTTGTTTTGTGTAAATAATTAAGAAATTAGCTAATGTATAATTTACAGATGATGTAACCTAATATCGTAACATCTGCAAGACCAGGGATTCAATTAAACAAATTATGTGCAGAATAGAGCGGTTCAAAACTGGTCCAATTCCCTGCTCTTAAACATGGCATATCCGAACTAAGGAACTGTTTGAGTTGTGGGCACCTGAGTGGGACCAAACTTTCAGTAAGTTTTGATTTATCGGTGTGCTTCTTAATATTGATAAGAATTTAGAGTTGATTAATGTATTTCTTGTTTTATCGGTCGTTGGAGTGTGTCCTTTTTGTCAGAACATGTGCAGTTCAGCCTTTTTGGCAGCAATGATTATTTTATCAAAATACCATATCAAAACATTTTGGATGCATAAGCCAAGTACTAAAAGGTGAGTGAAAAGCAAAGTTTTTCAATATCGAGTTTAAACCTCTGCAGCATAATTTCATTTGAACCAGAAGCAAATAAGGGACAAAATCGAATTAATGTGGATCTCCCGCTCGAGAGCATTGCAAATATCTTTCCCACGACTCGCTATCGGCCAATCGGATCTTTCTGCATGAAGTCCTCAGTGACTGTTGCTGGTTTTGAATTAAGCCGTTGTCAGACTCGCTAAAATCTGATCATCCGTGTTAAACCAACGGCAAATAAAAAAGGAAAGGAAGAATAAAAGAACAATCATCAATTTTGAAGGTGTTTTTCTCCGTAGTTTCCACGGCAAAAAAAGACAGAAAAGGAATGAAGGAGCAATCACTAATTTGGCATGTGTTTTCCCCCGTGCTCCGTTGCGTTGGATTTCATTTAATGAGGCAGGTCTCGTGGTATCTTCCAGTCGGTCGTGATTTCCTTGGCTGTTGTCACTTGTTCGAACGGATCATTAATGAGTTTGTCGGAGCCTGTTTGTCGCCGTATTTAAAGGGTCCAGGCGAGAAATTTCTTCAAATATTTTGTGAAAATTTGTATTCTTCATAAATGTTCTGTGAAAATCATTTCACTCCCAAATCTGGTGAATTTTTAAGTCATAGAAAAGTGTAATTTTTTTCTTATATTTAAAATTTTACACGCTTTGCAAGACAATTGAGGAGATATTGTGTGGTATTTTCGAAAGCCACTCAATCTTCAGTCTGTTGAGGGACTTTTCTGTTCATTTTCTGATTTCATCCAAAATGAGCTTATTGAAAACATTTTAGGAAGGTTTGGTTACTCGTTAAGCGTTACATTACTTCATGTACTTCCAAACAATGGATCACCAAAGAACTGCACAATAGCAAAAGGGTCCAAATTCCTTTAACTTCTTGCATTGTACGCGTTGTACTATTGAGGTCTCTGGCCAGAAGACATTGCGATTTTGAATTGGGAATAATATTTTACTTAATTTCTGAGAAGTCATTTTAGGGGCTGGGTGACCTTTTTCATATAGACACTCAGGCTATATACAAATGACCTTATCTCCATATCCTCGTTAAAAAGACGTGGATCAAGGGTTACAAAGATTCGGTTCTTCCATTTTTTTCTTTCCTTATTTAGCAGGGGATAATTACACGGACTGAGATTCATTAAAATACTTGAAGGCTTTGCGGCTTTTTTCAGTGTTTTCGCTTCCATCTTTAAGTACAGGAAGGCACCAGCGTAGACAGTGTAATGATTTCCAATCGGACAGGTTCAGTTTCCTATTAAACCTGTTTACTCTTCCCGGCTTTTCTGACTTAGGGCAACACTTGAGATACAAAAGGTTTGTAAAAAGCGACTTGATTTTCCAGTGTCTATTTTCCATGAAGTGAAGATGTTGATGCAAGCGTGCAAACACTTTCCCTGGAGAGAGTGGTTCCTAGAATTGACGATTCTCACCGCGCGTAGGAGTTTGTCTTTCAAGGTTTCATTTGCATGAACGTGCCGAATCCTGCGTTGAAAGCTGATTGCATGCAGGTCCCGCTAACGCCGGTGGGGAAAGTGCATTTAAAGGCGCCTTTCCATGTGTATATTTTTGGCTGCGTCGCACAGACGATGTGTTCATGCGTTTCACTTTCACGGACACAAACATTAAATTTTAAACAGTAGGAAGTGCGGGGACCAGTCTATTTTAGTGTTGGTAGCAGCCATTGTTACGTGCGCATACAGTCGCGATGGACTTCGCGCATTATACGTGCAACATTTGCTGAAACAAACCGGAGACATTTTTAGCCTTACGTAGAAGAGCACGGATGTCGGCGTTTTTGATTGATTTGAAGGTGTGGTGTATCTAAGTTTCGAGTGTTTTGTGGGGGGGGGGGTTCTGCTGTCATCGCTGGTAAATGCAGCATGAAAACTACTGACCAAGTCTTTCCCTCGTCTCCCGTGTTTCAGCCTTCACGTATACCGTATCGCGTATGCTTAGATACTCCGCCACGTTTTCCACACCGTCTAAGTAACACATTCCTCTGTGAGTATTTTCGGCCTCTTCGTATCCATTTCTGTTCGACACATCGAATTGACACCTGTTTAGGGTGTCGGAACTTGCATGAAATTTTCATGAATGTCGAGGGGTGAAGAGGAATCTGTTTGCATCTGCATTATCAAAAATATTATTGTATAAATTGTTCCCTCGAGCTTTATCGGCCTAATCGAGAAAATAGTTGGCCAAATCGGTTCTTTGTTTTGCAGAGGAAATAGTTGGTCATAAATATCTTCTAGTCAGCTTCAAAAAAGCTGTATCTCAAGCGTAGCACCAAAATTTGGTTTGCTATTCAATCCAGTAAAAACTGAAGGTTTTTATCAAATGTGCGGATGTAAAAATGTTTGATGTTGTCGCTCACAACTTTACGTTTTATTTCAGTCTCCAAAAATTAAAAATGATTCCCAACTCCACTTGTGTTTTGATCTAAACTTCTTACAGATCTAAGAAAGTGCCCAAAATCTGACCCGCAAAGACATTAGGAATTGTACGCAGTGTGAAGAGCGTTTATAACGCCGTACATTCAGTGCCATTATATCCAGCAAGAAATGAGACCGAGGGGTACCCCCCACATGTCCGATCGCTTTACACACTCTAGACTATTGTTACTAACACATCCCCCAAGTGTCTCAAAAGAATTCCTCAGATTCCAGCGAAACAATTACCAACACAAAGCAGGGGGCCCTCTCCGTCTTACACCTTGCTTCATATAAGTGCCGTTTAACGCCGTTGTGGAACAAAACTGTCCGGTCCAAGGCGGAGATCAGCAAACGTATGGTTAATTGAGTGCCCCTCACTCTGTCTCTATTTTGCTCGCAAAGCGAGCGTGGGCATTTACATCGCGCGTCTCTAATCTTCTTTTGTCCAGGGCAGATTGCAAATCTTTCTGGGAATGGCTAAGAAACCGCGTCAAGTTTCCTCCAAAGCATTGAAACTGCCCACATTGTCTTCATTAATTCAATGCCAAATCTTCAACTATTTAACGAAGGATGCGACGCCGTCGTTGCTGGGGCAACGATCTAACAAGAGGTGCGTCGGCGGTCATTTGCCTTTCTTAATTATTGGAATGTGTGGTTGACGGTGAGCGTGCTTTTAAGCGAAGTGGTGGGATAGGAACCGGACACCTACGAAAAACGTGCGTGTTCACGGAGACACGGAGAGAATTCACCTCGCAGTCGGTCTTCACGCAGGTGAGACGGGTTGTGTAAAATATTTTCCCAGCTTCGGTAATTGTAAACTAAGCAGAAACTTGCGGGATTTGATTTCGTTTGGAGTTAGTTGAAGCTTGTCGGGGGGACTCGGATCGGAATAAAGCTATTATGTGCGTTAAATAACATAACCTGGATAGATAAGACTTGAAGCTATGCATGGTGGAATTACTAAGTTAGGTAGGCTTGCGGTTTCTCCATGTTCAAAAAAATATCTCTCTTACGAGTGTGTGGTTCTTAGAAGAACCGAGGGTGGACACTCGACGTTCTGGACAGTATGCTCTGTTCGTCTTCAGGAGGGTGACTGGTTTCCTGGCTGATGATGCTGGTTTTAAGCGCTGGAGAAGATGCTGAAGGTGCACTGGAGTAGAACGGCTTGCTTGATGGTGGATCCGCTGGACTGAAAGACTACTGAGAGCGCTCAATGATGCGTGGCAGTGGGGTATTGGGTGAAGTTGGAGGAGTGTCAGATACTGCTGATGTAGAACCCAACGTCTTGGGGGACTGTGTCGTGCTTGTAGATCTCGATTGCTTCCCTGATGCGTCTATCTTGGGTACCATCTGTTGACCGGGGTGATGAGTTGAGCTGCTTGCCAGTTGATGACGTGATCCTTGATGTGTGAGTGCTTGACAATCGCTGACTTATCATAGTCACCTCTGTGTCCATGGGCGATGTGTTCTTTGAGTCCGGTGGGCAAGTCCAGACCAGTCTCGCATATATACACCTTCCCACATTCGCAGGGGATCCTGTAGACACCAGCTTTCGTCTGATGGCCTTGCTTGTCCTTGTGGGTCTGTAGGGTGGCTTGAAGTTTCTTGGCGGCAGTGTGGAATACTCTCATGTTGGCTTGGTGAAGGATGTGTTGGATTTTGTGGGATGCGTTTCCTATGTATGTAGGTGTGTATGTAGGGTTTTTTTCATGAAAAACTTTGGATTCATGCCCCCGAGTTCCCCCCGCTTCCATGAACCACTTGCCTTGCCTTGCGTGGAGATTATGGGTTCGGCTCAGTTGCTCTGCCTGGGCTTCGCCCGGCTGAACTAAGATGGGTTGATGGGCAAAAGATGCGGTTAACGATGGCTGGAAGGCTGGTTATAGTCTGGGGTTGGCCAGCCACAGACTGAGGCTGTGCTGACTTGTCGCTCGTCGCCCAGCCCTCAAACAGGGCGCTGGTAAGGACTGATGGCTTTGCGCTGTGATTGGCTACATTGTGCACTACCTGTGACCTCAAGGTCATCACTTCCTGTTAACGAAGCGTTATTTACATTTTTCGGTTCGCCAATTGATGGCAATGCTTTGCCATGGGTAAAGTGTCGGCTCTATGAAACACATGGCCTTGCGGGTACAATCACAGTGGGGTAATTTATTTTCTCACTAAGTATCACTGATCACGTGTCATTTGGCGATATATTTCAAATCACTGGTTATCTTGATCAATTTTGGATAAGGGAATAAAATGTAAAATAAAAAAAATATCGAATTGATAACCACCACTTGTGTAATGCATTGAGCGAGCTAGTGCGCCTGGCAAAAAAAATACCCACAATGCTCTGCACATCGTTACCTGTGAACCTGTGTAGCGTATTTCCTTCACTAAAATCTGCGCAAGACCTTCCCAGTGCCCTGTTCGGGCGCTGGGAGACGAGCGAATGCTGACTTGGGCTGAACTGCGTCAGGTCGGTTGGGCTGCGCCTAACTAACTAGTCTGGGCTTTAATGGGCTGGACCCAGCGGTCTTCGAGGCTTCGCCGGCCTGGCCTGTGTGCTCAAGATGATAAGACTGACCTTTGCCAGACAGGACTGGTGTCAGCCCGGTCATGTACCCTTGTACCACACTTGTCGGTGTAAAACAGTGGTGATAGTGTAGGCTTTAAGGATTTTGACAAACCTCAAGCACGTGCTACTGAACACCAACTGTACAGCGTGATATGTCAAAGTTATATGTCGAACTGTTGTACGGTTATACACATGTTTCCCCCATAAGGCTTCGGGCTCTTCCGAGAGGCAGTTGATACTGGTGAGTGTACGGGTGAGGAATGTCATTAAACATTCAGTCTGTGTAAAGTAGCTACTAAATGTGAAATCAAAGACTCCAGAGCCCTTGAGAAGTTTACCTGTCCAATTCACGTCTCGATTTCATGCTTGTTCGTACATTTTACGTAGGTGCTCGGCACATTTCGAAACTTAAACTCTAAATAATTAATGATGGCCGCACGTCATCTCGGTTAAATCCAGAGCGTTGCCGGTGGCAACCAGATCTGCAGGGTAAAGACTCCTGTGTCTATTCTTGACGGCATGACTCCACTTTACATCTTAAGATATCTTGCAACGCCGTACTTTTTTTTATTCAGTCAACGTTTATTTAACTTGAGAGTAGAGAGGTCTTTGTCTTCCTACCTCCGAGGTCTCTCACACGAAGAGGAGTCTGAACTGCGAATGCGGCATGCATTGCGGACTTAATAAATATTCATCCCCAATTTACATCTGCGTCTTGTAGGGTTATCCGTGCAAATATCCCTCTGCGCACTTCAGACAAGAGACCAAAAATCCGATACCCGGAGCTCAACACAGACCCTTGCGATTTCCAAACCAGCAGGTCATTCCCGGTCAGGTTGATAAAGGACTGGCTTTTTAGCCAACATCTCTCTCTCTCTCTCTCGAGCATCGAAAATCTATTTTAAACTCACTTACAACTCGAGCCGGCACGACTCAAATTCCAGCTTTTAACAACTGTCCTGCTGGACAATAAAAAAGGAAAATGGACCTCTTCAATTTTAAACGTCTTCACTTCATACTTTGGAATAGAAACGGTAGATTATGCGTCAGTGCACATGGACAATTAACACCCAATATCTACATGCCGTACTGCACGCATGATAAACATCCATTTTTGATTCGTAAGTGTGAAGTTGGCACTATTCTCTTTAGATACTGCGGTGCAATTCCGCACCGCATTGGGTTTCGGGACTCGAAAATCGTGTGGTCAGTCTCTGTATATAGTAGGCCAGAAATGCTTGTTTTATGAGGTTCAACGTAGTTATATAGTTGAGTGTTTATGGCTTTAGTAAAACGCCTGGGAAAACGTCAGCTGAAAAATGAAGCAACTTGTATTCAAGTGTCTTTATTGGTCCTAATTTGTGTAACACGGCAGCCTTCCTGTGGCGCAATTTGATGCAGCCATGCACACAGGTAGGTCAGAATTAGAGACTACGACTCACAAATGTCTTATTTCAATGAAACCTTGATATTGTCGCCCGAATTCCTCCATGGTCGACTTGATTCTACCATGCCATGGACCGCTATACCTAGCCCCTACATCAACCCTGGACACCTGTTGACACTGATTTACTCTTCCCTTCACGCTAAAAGCTTGTCAGAATCGCCTGCAGCAAACAAATTTGAACCGGCATCATATATTACTTGGTCTGCCTTCGGACCACATAACTCATCGCGTTCTGTCACAGTGCTGCAGCGGTACTGTCGCTGACATCCAATAACAATCAACCCGGCCGTTCCATTTTTTCGGGACTCTATACACGAGAATTAAGTACCCATGCTGCAGTCCTTGTAACAGATCTTTTTTAATGCGTTATGTTTTTGACAGGCTTCATTGCGAATAGGTGTCTGTGGTGAAGACCGATGAACGTATACATCACTGGTAAAGGCGGGTTCTTGTCTAGTTTCGAGAGTCCGGAGAAGAGCTCAACCAAATGGTAAATATAGTTAGAGAAAAGAAAAAAATCTGTACATCAAGTCGACTTTTCTGTTGTCGATATTTCTTTAATTTTACATCAGCTTTCGTATGATATATTATATGGCATGATTTGAAAATGAACATTAGTGAAGAATATCGTCATTCTGGGAAATCATGATGTTTGACGAACAATTACCGGTATTCCCGCAAACAAAAAAGCAATCAACTCAGAAAGGTCAGGGGTTTTATATATCATGCATTTTGTCAACAAGGATCTAACCACGCATTTGAATCAAAGGTAAATAATATTCTTTCCCTAGGGCCTTCAAGAAAGCATTATTTTGAAAAGCATTACACAGCATACTGCAATTTTCATCTCTTACAATTCTTCTCTTCGCCTCTGCTCGTCGAGTGGGGCTGGCCAACAATGACGCAAGTGCGATGCATCAGGGCACACAGAGATGTAGGCATTTCACTCAGTGTTCTCAGGGTATAAAAATCACTTCAGATTTCAAGGAAAGGAAGATAAGCACCGCTGATATGTAGTAAAAGGGAACTTTCTTAAAAATTTAAACTGACTCCCTTAGCGTTTTACTTGGAATGGAGGATCCGATACTGAAAAAGACAAATTAGTAATCCACGGCAAGGAAGCTTGTGCTATAAAATATAACTGAGATCAGTCCCGCAGCAGATGGACTGCTCGCTGTAAGGTCGTGCACTCACATAAGCTAAAGGGTAATGGATACTACATTTTTCATCAGTAATTGTTTCTGCTACTGGTGTTGTGCCGTTCATATCAACGTTCCCGGATCATGAGAAGCAACAACAAAGTAGAGACTCGATAAAAATTGTACTCGGGTTTAAATAATTTGTTAACTCCAGAATGTCACATTTTCAAGAACGTAATACAGAATTAAATCGTATTGGGTGGGCGTTGTCGACGGTTCCGTTGGACCAGCTACGCTGAGCACAGTAACGTGGCCAAAATTTCAAGACATTATTACGTAATCCAATTGACAAATGAATAGGCAATTCCACCTATAGCTGGTATATTCGAAAAAACGTGAAGAATGTTTCACAAAAGTAGTATTTTGTAACTTTAGGGGAAACTGCCGATCCGGCACTTGGAAATGAAATGCTTACTACATATGATTGCATGTACAAATTTTATGCTTGAAATGTTAATTTCATACAATATTGCCTTTTTTTCATCTCGTGGTTGCCCCAGGCGAAGTGCTTTGTGAATTATATTAAGCTTTGCCATTGCAGATGATGTTTCACGACTACAGCCATTAAAAATTATAATCCATTCTGTATTCCTGCCAAAGGAGACCTGTCTTTTAATAACGTTTTTTTTTTCTGTGTGTTAAAATCAGGTAGGACTTTGTTTCAATAAGATAGCACATCGTTTTTATCTTTTTCTATGTAATGACCATAGCGTTCCAAAGGTATGGGGTACTTGCCCCTAGAACAAAAATGGAAAATAAAAGAAGGGGATAACAAAGGAGGGTAAATGGATGGAAACCACTCGTTTTCATTGAAATGTCTTTGCACTGTCGCTCTCCACTGCCAATGGTTTGTCAGTTTGCTACGGCTGAGTGTTCCCCTATCATTGCCTTCCTGCCTTGCGACGCTTATGTCCACCACAAGGAAATGGATCTTGAATTCGATTAGACCAACGGCGTTTTCCGTTGTGGCGAGAATGTTATCGATTCAGACCGATTCCGAGTGACTGAACTGACTCCCGGTCCAAATTCTCGAAAGAAGACAACCTGCCCTCCGACGCGAAAGGAGCTTTTATCATTCAGAGATCTGCCCATTGGGAAAACAATATAAACTCCCCAAAGGCACAGAGCAAAATTATGTCGAGGCAGATGTCCAGGTGTTATCTTTAGTGAGCAGTATCCACATCATTGAGAGTAATCTCTTGCCCGTGGAATGTCAGATAATTCGCACAGAAAGTATCCTCACTGGATGCGAGGACAAGTCGGAAACATTCGATATAAGAACCATTGTTAACATCAGCTCCGACCTTGGGCTTACCTTCCATCTCCAATACTGCGAGTAGTATTTTAATGTGAGGGTATTTTAATCTGACAGTATTGTATTGTCCGTCACATGAACACTTTTCAAGCTGCCTTTAGATTTGAACAGTGTTGCTGTCACTTTGTAAATGTGTTTAGACGTCCAGCTTTACTTGACAAAATCCTGAAACGTTATGGTTTCAAAGCAATCTCTACACTTCTTGAATTCCACAGACCTATTCTGACTAGTGCATTTTGATTGCTGATGAATGAAATACCTCGCTGGTAATGGCGAAACCTACTCAAAGGCAAACTCTAAAAATAAAAACTGGTTTTACGAACAGCTGCAAGTTGTGGTTTGTCATTAGCTTCTTGCCGCCTACATCCTTGCTTTTCTACTTTTAGTCCCAAGTATTTATCATCAATGGTTTGAAAGTCCGCTAAGAAGCCACTAAAAATTAGCTTCTGACTGCAAGGTGACGTTGATCCGGCTGTGATCCAGCGGGGATCTAGGGCTTGGAGCATCGAGTAAACAACCCGCACCCTGTCCCGATGAGATCGATGTATCGTGCTACGTCTGCTTGTCTCATACATGTGCTTGAAAATAATCTTGGAACTCAGGAAATCAGAACCCGCGCTTACTCGGTCAACGTCGTGTCGGAAATGATGAAAGAGCTCTCTGGTGAGGTGACTGTTTATTTGGATCTCCACAGCGGATGCTCCACTTGTCAATTTCACCTCTGATGCTCCAACTGAAATGATTACGTTTTCACGTTCTATGAGATCAATTTACGCTTGCTCCTACATGCGTTTATCACTTCACATAATGGCATGTAAAATATTTCATAAACATTCAAGTTCATTAGTGATCTTTGAGGTGACTGATGTGGTGTCTGTTCATTGCTTCTGCAAAGAACATTGCCTGCAAATCAATCACACGAAATCAGCACTTTTGAAAGTAACGAATTTAATCTCACATAAACTTTTTCAAAGGGGATTTCCGTATGGCTACGGGAAAAACCAAATCCTCAAAATCACTTAATGTTAGCCTACTTTGAGATAATTTGAAGATTACAATCTAAAGTTAAGTTATGAATACGGGAAAATAAAACGTACGTTTAAAACCACTCAATGTTATTCTGTTTAACAGGCCTAAACGATGATAGAACAGTTTATATCCGAAACAGATTAGTAAAATGTGTAAAAAATATGATGGGCATTGTTTTAATAAATTTCCATCAGACGCGTGTGTGACATACAGTTGCAACGGGAGGTGGGCATGGCAAGTTCTTTGAATTTGTACAACTGTGATTCGTAATTATGTTCGCAAAAATTTTCAGCAAAATTTCAGCTATTTATAGACGCATTAGGAATTTAAATGAAATTGAAATAAAGTTAATGTTCCGAGATTGTATGCGCATAATACTGTATCAGCATCCGTAACCTAATTAGAATTATGCACGGGAAGCCTTTTAAGTGTATGCATAATGTGGTAATTGAAATTCATGGCGCGTGTTCGAAAAAGCCCGGTCAAGCAAACAACTTTGATATCTCTTTCATCAACACGTCTTATCTCTTTTCAAAGCGTTAGCGGTCTGAACACCCACGCGTAAACGCACTTCGCGTTTAATACCGACTCGATGCTATATCTGTCACGCGGTCTCTTGCAAAACGAGGTGAGTCACCCTTGTCAAGCGGCATCACCAGAGACTCAGAAAACAAAGAATTGTCGCGGGAGAGAGGCAGTGACAGGGACACAGTGAACGCGGATGATGTTCGTGCACAATAACAGAGTCTATTTTTCTACGTACACTGCCAGTGCACGATACCCTGCGAGCGGGGAATACACTTTTAGCGCAGTGACGTCAGACTCCGTTGCCCTGGTAACTCTACAAATGCGCAGAGTGTGAGGTGCGAGTCTCTCTCGCGGTTCGTATAAATGATGTGTTTTTGATATTGTGCTCAAGGTAGCTGACACAATTCTAACGGGGAAGGTATGTGTTGGGGGATGTGTTCGTACACAGTTGCAGTCGCAGGGATCTGAATTCTAAGTGTTTGCCCGTGTGATGGTGCAATTCCAACTTTACTAGAGGATATTTCAGGCGAACCAGTTTAATTTCAAAGCGTTTGTAGGCTTCCATCACCTCATCAAAATTTTTTATCAGCTGAGAACCGTTTTCGCACTTAAAATGTTGTTGTACTGTTTTGTTTTATAGTTAAGATCATCAGAAGCTCAGATCATCATCCATCATGCATCAGGACATCCGGTAGGCAACTTCTCTTTGCTTGAGCCGTAAAATGGCGGACCACAAGGAGTACAACCAAATTCTGTATGGCAACTCCATAGTGTGGATCATTGTGATTTCCGCCATCGCCTTTGAGAATGTGATCTGCCTTTTGGCCATCTCGACGCGCAAGCGCTGGAAGAGTCCCGACGTGCTACTGTTCTCGCTCATTCTGGCACACTTTCTGACCCTGGTGCTGCCCATGTTACTGTACTCCGCCGTGATCATCNAGCAAGGGAAAGTGGGAAGAGAGCGCCTGCAAGTTCCTGGTCTGGTGCTTCATGAGCTTCAAGATAGTCAACTCGCTCCAGATCAGTTTCCTGTCCATGGACCGGGTGTGGACGCTGAAGTGGCCCGGCTCCTACCGGGTGCACAACACAGCCAAGCAGAGCACGCGCACCGTGTCCTTCATCTGGATCTTCGGCCTGTCCATCGGGTGCATCCCCCTGCTGGGCTGGCCAGACGACCCTGCAGTGGCGCAAAACTGTAGCGTCATCCTCAACATTGGCGGCTACGGCTACGCACTGTGCATCGTGGTCATCATCCTGGGCAGCTTCGTGGTCAGCTCGGCCTGCGTGACCACCATCCTCCTCCACCTCGCCCTCCAGAAGCTGCCGGTGGAGGGCACGCCCAAGCCGGAATTCAAACAGCCCATCCCCGAGATCGTCATTGAGAGCGAAACAGGCGAAAGGACGTCGGCCGTCCAGGGGTCACGTGAGACGCAGAACCGACAAATCTGCCTGCTGGTGTCAGCCATGGTTGTTGTGGAATTTTTCATAAACGGCATTCCATTTGTTGTAAGTACTTTACATTTATCTCATCGCCATATACATGTAATCATATTACGCAGAAGGAGAAGCACTCATCCATCTATTTGATTTTTTTTTCAGTGTGGAGCACGTGATATTGCCTCGCCAATCACACGTGTATGTTATCTCACATTAAATTCAGTCTGTTATAGAGTGTCCTATACATTAATGTTTTGTGTCTGTTAGCATTGCTCATTCAAATATTTCCGTCCATAACAAGTTCCCTATGTCAAATACGAAGGAGAAAAACCGAAGGGTTCAAACCTAAACAACTAATCTGGAATTCACCGCTTGCAACGAGATAAAGTTTTGGACCCAACATTCGTTGGTTTTGTGGTGTTCAAGCATTTTTTGTGATTAATTGAAATTAATATTCACCCCCCCCCAAAAAAAGAAATTGATTAAAAATAACCAATCATTTGGTTGATGTGCGTTCAACCAACCGATTGGTTGGACCCACATCTACTTGTTGGTTGTTTGAAACATTTTTACCCACCTGTATTAAGAGTGTGCCGTAACCATTTCGAATTTTTGCCTTGTCATAACATTCCGAGAAGGTACCATTCTAGGTATCTTTTCAAACGATTCGGTTTACTCATGGGTAAGAACTGTTTTGGACCTGCGAAGCGCTCGCCAATTTCAGATAATCGTTATGTCTCCTGGGAGTTTACATTCTGTAACACTATTGTGACTTCTGTGTACTTTTCCTAAGGGGGTTGTAAGGCGGGCTCTCTACCCTTCGTGTTAACAATAAGTCCTTTCAAGACAGGAAACAAGCCACAGCTAACCAAGCGAGACAAATGCCGGGTTGATCACACCCTAAGCATAATAGCGACGTTGTTTAGTGTACCTTTTCCCGTATCGTTCAAAAAGACATCTTTTGGTGACTATAAAGCCACAATCTTAAGCCAAAAAAGAGACCAGCAAACCAGTTTGCACTTTGAAGGCTTAGTGCCCGAATCTTTATTCCATTCGCTTGAAACGATGTTCTGCCAAATCGGCAAACACGTGGTAGAAAAAAATTGCTTAGCAGAATTAAAATGCGTTCAGGTGAACATAATATGTACTCTTGCCATAGCAATTTATCGTGCTGCTCGTGTCTTTAGCATTATATACACTCAGGGGTATAGTCCAACTCCCGATCAATTAATAATTCCCTTGACCTTCTACTGTTGACGCCTCATCCACAACCTGGATACCGAATGGGAGTTTAACGAGCAGAGACCCGCTACTAGTATTTTGATGGCACAGAGCATTAAAGCTTCGCTCACGGGTCATTTCACGTTGGAGTGCTGCAGCATATTAGTGCGGGTATTATGGTCTTAAAGCGCCTTCACCGGCGGCAGAACGATTTTCATAGTGGGGGGGCAGTTGTTAGACCATCAGGTATCAGCCATTACGGGCTCGATCACAAAGCCCCACCCAATTATAGGACCTGCAAAAAGTGGGGGGGCCCCAGTCAAAAATGTGGGGGGATCCCCCCTTCCGCAGCCAGTGCTGTCCATCTCCGCGTGCTGTGAAACCTATCATAATAAACGCACTTCAAATTGGTTTTGAGCTATGGTACCTTACCGTGGTCGATTTTTATAATCAACAGCAGGCGTAATAAATTCAATCACCCAGAGACAACTTTAACATCCCGAATGATAACTCTCAAGGAGACATGTAAGGACGTTTCATTCTAGGTCAGTATCGCCCGATACCATTAGTTTTAATAAGAGAACAGAAGTGGTGCTTCCCTAAAGCGCCACTACTGTCGCCCTGTTCTACTGTTATGTTGCACTGTCGCTCTATGCGTAAAACTGAAGGAACCTTATGGACAGTGGCCGTCGGGAAGGCATTATTTTCAGTCATGTAGATAACATTTTTCGTATGAGTATCAGAGGGGGGTGCAATTTACTGTTTTAATTGGGAAGTTAGCTGGATTAGTGTCTAACAGTGTGGTCAGGGGTAGGTCCCCTTGGGTTGGGGATAGCGGCCAAAATAGGTTTGCACGCGAATCTATGGAAATGGCTGCCAAGAGTGCTATTTGGTGTCATCACCTATCATTTTCAATAGCATCCTATATTCATCACAATGTCTTCAAGGACATTAGTTGGTCGTGAACTTTTATTTCATTGCTCAAATTTTATTCTTAGATTCCCAAAATAAGAAAGCTAACGTCGCTCTCAATTCGCTGTGGCAAAGTTGTAAATGAGGCCAGTTCAAGTTTTGCCCATGAATTTAAGGCGTGTCGTTGGCTTCATATTAAAAACTTCGACCTGAAGGTCTGCCAACTGTTTCGTTACCATCGATGAAAAATCATTTAGACGACTTAATACATTAGGACGTTGTTTTCTCACCTAGAAACGTCCCCCCCCCAAAAAAAAAAATTGAAATCGATTTGATAAGATGAATCGCACACACAAACAAAATATAATCTCGGGGGCCTAATGATTTGTCGTTTGCAGGCATCGAAATTGTACGTCTGTGTGTATATCCCACGCACACTGTACAACAAAGTAGGGTGAATAGAAGCTAGCCAAAGGTGCGATCTACCTCACGCATTTGGCCACAAGGGCCGCTTTTTCCACTGCAGAAACTAGGCGTGGAAGCTTTGAATACGCGCAGGAAATACCAAGCAAATCAGATCTGAAATCGGGACGTACTCACAAATGTTAGATTGACAACCTGTTGCCTAGGCATGTGTCTTCTCTTCCCGCCCTCTTTTAGGTGATTTTGGTTATTTATTACTATCAGACTCGTTCCTTTTTTTCCCCAAGTCTGCTCAAAATCAACATAATCCAGACGAACTGTGCGTTGATTTACTCAAATGTGTGGCCATGGACACGTTCTGGACCTGAACAAAGCCGCCCTTTGTTCCCTTATCGGATACGTGAAAAACCTGGACATTTTTATTGACACGAATCTCATCTTGGGGGAAGAATGTCACCTGCACAAAACTATAAGCATGAAAATAAAAGGACAGAATGAAATAACTGTGCCTAGTTAGGTTTATTATCCCTCAAATAGTCGTCTAAACAATTCGGCACATTAGAAAGACAGTCATTCAACCACAACAACCTACTTTTCCAGTTCTGCGATCTGTAACTTGGATTTCATATTAAGGCGAACCGCCCAGGTACGGGTACCAGTAAATATTTTCAACGGTTTTTGTAAATTTGGAAATGCTATCAAGGAGAGCTGTAGACTGGTCACAATATGCACTTTTGTAAGGATCTGAAAGCTGAAAGAGACCACTCGTCACAAAATAAAATATTAAAACGACGCTCCTCACGAGCCACGTCCACCTATTTCTATCGACGCTTGTCTTCAACAAAACTCGCGTCGGTAGATCATTTAACTCTGCGCTCTGAAATGTTCCAAGACCTCTCCAATTCTGCTTACGTAAACCGCCCACCGCTGCTACTAGATTTCAGCCGTTGTAACCAAATACTCCACGTGCGCTTCATTGTGGCCGTTTTGATCAGCAACCGAGTCAGGCATGACGTAATGAGATTGAATTGGCGCCATTATCGCAACTGAATAACATTGTCAGCACGGCGAGCTTCTTAAATTAACATTGCATCGAACTCGTCTTGCTACATATTGTGTGACCGTGAGTGTTTGTCTGGCGAATGATTACTGCCCAATTACATTACATTGACGGGATAATTGAAAATCGGTTTGCAAAGTAATCGCAACGAATTTTAAACCGTACGATATATTTCACGTGAAATAAAGGCTTCGTGAAAAGGTTTTTGGTTGATCATTAAATCGTGTTCTTATGCATGCCATTTGATCATGGACAATAGCAACTTATTTGTTTAAATCCTTCCTGATGTCTTCAAGCTTTGCACAAGGGAATCCTGTCCAAGACAACAAAATGGAGGCCGTGACATCTCGGTTTAAAATGAAAAAAAAACAAAGATTTTTAACCACATTAATTAAATTATTAATTAAATTTTATTGTTTTTGCATCTTGTTTTAGTCCCAAAATGGCATGGCGTGGTAGAAAAAACGTACAGTGCACTTTTGTCCTTGAATTTATATTCAAAGATAATGGGAAATTTCAATGACTTAAGTATATAAACTTAAAGGATCCAGGAAATACATTTTTCTTAGAATCACTTTTTGTGTATCTCTGTACTCTTCTTCCATGTATGAAGACTGTTTGACACCTTTTTTGAGTAACGTGAGCTGAACGTTGCACTATTTCAAACATTTCTGGACAAGTGAGGGCACTTTTGCTTTCATGCAAATCCAGGAATTCACGGTTCAGGTTGCACGTTTTCATGTTCAAATTGTAAACCCCAAATTTTCTTTCTGGGAACATTTCTGTAAAAAGGATTTTTGCTGGATTATTGCCATATACTTACACAGCAATAAATTGCCAAAGAAAATAAAATATGCCATAGCAGTGGTTTAAAAAAATCTAGTAATTTTCTGTGCACAAATCAGTCCAACATTGAGATTCAGTGCCTTGGATTACATCATAGTGCTGCTCATGAATATGCAAATAAGCATTAGCATAAAACCAAAAAAATCAAAATATGGGTTAAAATTGCAAAACAAAAATTTAAAATGCGGTTAATTGCCACCCAAAGATGTAATTTCAAGAGTTTTTATTAGAATTTATAAAAATATTTCTTGATTCCTTTATCAAAAACAAGAAATCTAGAAGAGACTTGAAATTTGCATATTCTGTATGATAAAGTTAATTATTTATGAGCTGTTCTCACTATTATCTGCATTATCTGATTATGACTAATAATCTAAAGAATTTTTACGATGGTATGTATGTCGCCTCTATGGTGTACTATTGTGGCCACATTACACAGCGCCACTAAATAACACACCAAAGAATACTCATCGCTCTGGCAAACAATTCTCATGGCGCTGCCAAACAACTATCACTGAGCTCCGTTACGTGGCTTTAATTGAACACCATACACCTGTGCACGCAGGCCTGTGCTCAACCTTGCCGGAAGAGGGATATTCTCCATCCCATGTATTGGCCGCCCTTGTGCGTCCTTATGTACTGGCAGTCGAGACGGAAGTATATACGAAGTCATTTCCTTTTTTCAGGGAAATTCATTAAACCTAAAAAAATGGCTGCCATTCTGAATGGCATAGGAGGCCTCTCTCACTCTGTGTCTTGACCTCGGGGCGTTGATTAATTACTGCTTTGCTAATTGATGTTGGCTTTGGTGTTCTCCATAAGTTAAGTGCATCCAGGAACACCTCTTACAATTCAAGCGGGGGTTGGCAGTATGCAAAAGGATAATTGGAGGAAAACATGGTGCTGCCCATTATTCGGAATAGCGATCTTTACGCCATTGGCAGCACAATACATTATCTTGCATATCGACCTCTTGCACAGGTAAGTCTTTCTGCGATGCACGAACTTCGAAACAAACGAATGAACGCGCAAAAGGTGTGTAACGTTGCCGTCGTCCTTGTGCACAACACGAAAACGTCTGCTTGTGCATCATCACAGTAAGTATGTTGTCTACCAGTGGCTGGGAAAAAGGACGGGCCATCAAGAGAAAAGCAAATGGTTAATTCTTTAAGTGTTTAGAAATCTCAGACAGTTGGCTGTCAAAATAGGAAATTTCAAACATTAATGCTAAATACTAAAAAAATTCCATCATCTGAAAAATGAAAATGGGGACGTTATTTGAGACCAAACCAATGGTGATGTTTCTGTATTTAACCACCTTATAGGGTTACTGGCAACATGAGAGCAGTATGTACTCTGCGCACGCCTCTTGAATAGTCAGATGGGTGTAAAATGCACACAAGAGACAGAGTGCTTGAAAAGGATTTACAATTCCGACTCGCCGTTTGGAACAATCTGCATATTGGGTCGTATATGACATTGTACCGTTGCGTTTGGACGATTGTTTGGCTCTGTGGAAGTATAGGTGAAGAGCCGCGGGGGTTGGGGAATTATGAAGAAAAATGAAGAGCTATTTTGCATGGACGCATGCGTCAATTAGGCCAGGGTAATTTCCAATTAGCGTTGACGGTGTGATAGCGCCTGCCGCACACCTGGTGCCACGGAGCATGGGCAATCAGCATGGGGAGCGTAAAGGTTAACATAATTAAGTCTGGAAGCCAGGTCTTGGGTCAGGGGAAAGCAGAATGGAATTGCTCTTTCCTAAAACAGCTGTCCGATTTTGTTTCATCCATTAAAGAATCCTAACCCCCCCCCGTTTTCAGTTCTTACAAAAAGATAACACTCATGCTTTGTTGGCTATAACCTTGCCCCTTCCCCCGACAGATATGCCACTCTGAGCGGCCCTGTTTTGTTATAAAGTCACAGCCACCATGTAAATTTGAATATACTCTAACATTTTGTAAATAAGAAAACAAAAAAGCGGTACTGCCAATGCACTCCAGCGGCCAACCGCAGGGTGAATTTGATGCATGTCACGTAACATTTTAGAAAGATTCCGGTATACTCGAAATCTATAGGTATTCGGTTGTATTTTCGTTTATATACTAAATTATTAAGATTATTAAAACATTTTAAAGTCTGTGGCATTTGATAGTGGATTTATGTTGTCATATTGCGTAAATTGATTATTTTATGCATGCTACGCATGAATACCAATAATAACACGTAAAATTTTTAAGGGGGAAAACAGTGCCCTTTTATGTTCGTAGACTGAGTTAATGATATTCACGAACCAAATGCCCATGAATAAAAACTGGGCTGGTTGGCAATACGAAAGTCGTTTATCATAACCTCTTCCTGCGATCGGTTTTTCAGTAGCTGATTAAAAAAAATTCACTTCTCTGTTAGAGTTAGGGTAAAGTAATAAAGAAGCCATATTTTTGGTCTAATGGCCATTATTTATCGTGCATCCTCCAGGTGATTAATTTGATGGCCTTGACGAGCAACTCCCAACAAGCTTGGATGCCGGCCACGGTTGTGTGGAGCGCCCTCGGGGTGACGTTAATCAACCCGGTGCTGCTGTGCATCGTCTGCCAGAGGTACCGCCGCAGCTACGTCAAGCTGGCCACCTGCCTCGGGGAGGCGTGTGGCTGCGCAGACAGCAGCGTCCGAGACACCACCACCGGTAAGGCCAAGTCTGGCGACTGACGGTACCCTCGCCCAGGCAGCGTATTTTTTTCCCAAACGAGATCCAACTGTATCAAAAGAGCGCGCCCGCTGTGCTTACTCATTATTCATATTTGTATCCATGGCCTTAAGGAGTGGTTATACAATAAAGTTAAAAGTTTTAAATTCACTGGAGCTTGGAAGCCGATGTGTGGCGTAGTTGGGAGTACTCCCGACTTGAATTTCTCCGTCTCAGGTTCTAATGCTCTCGTTTTACTGCTCTTTTTTGTACCTTCTTAATAAACAAGTGAGAAAGGAACATTCCCACCATAAATTTGGTTTGTGAGGTGGAAAATCATGCTCGTAACAGATCAATCACAACACAGGCAACAAAAAGCGTTTTGGAAAAAATTCATTGCCGGGTAGAGCTGTATGTAGAGAGTGTACCGCCAACTTCTGACTTTGGACTTTGAAACCAAAATGGCTATTCCTTTTGAGTGCAATACAGCATGCAGCTATAGTGTGCTAATTATCCTTGTTTAGTGCCGTGTAATCTGCCCATGTTGGTTCCAATAGAAGCTCATGTCCCAACTCTCTCTACAAACGGCTCTGCCCCAGGGCATGTTCCAAAGCGAGCCATCGTTTGACCACTGGTCAGTTGTCTCTAGCCAGGACACCAGCGCAATACAGTCCCAATGGTCAATCCCACTCCAGTCGTTTTTGTAACGTCACTCACATTCTGCCATTTGTTGCAACTCTGTTAACATTCACGGTCACTGATGTTTCGTACAGTATTTGTCATGTCAGTTATTCCCTCTGTACCCAATTCCGAAAAATCCATGCGTCCCAGGGCCTGGGTCCGGATGATGGACTAGACCAGTCCGACCATCCATCCTCCCGGTAACAGTGACTGACCTCGAACTTGCCTCACTGTGCCTGTGTCCCCACTAAGAGCAGTGTTTTATGCGTACACGTTTCAAAATGGAGTACCACCGTGCTTAACCCCAGAGAGTTAGCTCCTGCCTCTTAATCCTGAGCTCGTTTCATGGGGATCCGGATCACGATCAGCCAGCTGTCGTTGGTCCATCGACACTAAAACCCGCCTAAATGGATGGAGCAAACCAGCGATGGGGGGACTGATCCTGATCCAGCTCCCTGTGAAACAAACAGGCCCATTTTGGTTGGAAGAACATCAAACATTTACAGAATAGCTACTACCAGTTAGAGAAACCGATCGTTTATGAAGAGGAGTTGATGGCAGCAGGAGTAAGGTGACATGGGCCTAATAATTTTACCGTGATCGGTCACTTTCCCCTGAAATCTTAACCTCACTGAATTTTATGTGACTTACATGCAGAGATTCAGAATCCATGCAAGCACGTTATTTAAGGCAAGCATGTTTCCTGGTTGGTGCGGTTAGTTATAAATGAAGTCAGTGGTTTTACTGGGTCGCCGTCTTCGGCAAACTTTAACCAGTCGAGGGAAATAAATCACTACTATTAGCAAGACCCTCCAAAGATGTTAAGATTCCCCAGACTCTGGTGTATGATTGCAACACACAATGGGTTTTTCATTGGCGAGTAATCAGAAACAATTTGTCTTATCAGACAGTAATAAAAACCCTATCGTGTAGATTGTCTGATTCCTCTGTCTTTTCACACAACGAAATGCACCGATTATATATAGCTTCGCTTGAGCACACTCAAGCGACGTCTGCACCCGTTGCCTGGTTACCGCGCGTGCGCTGTCATTCATCTCCTGTATCTCCCCTGCGTACTTTGGTAACCCACGCCAAACGCCACGTTCTGGCCCCGCTTAAGCGCAGGATATTGGTTAATATTTTGTTCCCATTTAATGGAAACGCTCATGACTTTCTCCCGCGGCAAAGAGACACCGCGCGAACAATAATTGGCACGTTATTAAGATACGGTCAACTGATTGTAATTGATATGCTCCGTTTTGAGAATTCTGTATGACGCCTGTCAACGTGTATTATTACTTTACACAAATGTGTGGGGATAAACCACATACTTTCCTATGGGAAAATAGTTTTATTGATGGTTGTGAGATTAGGCTACTCTTCCTGCCTCGTGGGAACTTTTGCTGTTTGAAATGTTATTTATTTCCCGTCTGAACAGAATCCTCCCAGAGCCACAGTTATAACCTTATTGAAGTTGAGTTTCCTCAGCGTGTTGCGTATAAAAGTTTCGCCAACTGTCACTGTGCTAACTCAACTGGGTCGAAGGTTTCCTTCGGTGTATAGATCTTCATGCTTTGAAGTTGGTACCAAACCGAGAAGTATCTGTGAAACAAATTCTGTGAACTAGTAACTATGTTCGACAGGTGCAATTTTTAAACATAAGCTCTCCAGAAATAGGCCACTGGGTACGGTGCTTGGTAAACGTTGTACTTTATACTTATTGAAGTTGATTCCTGTTCGGAGATAAGACTGTCTACTCATGTTTTAAACGTTTGCCATGTGAAAAATTAGAATTTAGTCACCGAAATGTTTCTATTGCTTCCCTCTGTTGAATGCATGAAAATGGGTAGATCGAGAAAGCCTGCCTTCAAACTCTGTTTCGATGATGCTTATGAAAATAATAGCTTTATTCGTGTTTGTTTGGCAAAAGGTTAAATGTTTTCAATTTAAGGCCGTTCTACTTTTGACCAATTAGTTAATCTGGCAATGAAACTTGCAATTTTCCAGGAGGAATTCAGCGGCAAGAGACTATCGACTCGTTGGATAACTTCTCTGACCCCGAGGACGAACTGGGCAAGTCGACATCCAACTTTGGCGACCTGTCCTTTTCCATTGACATGGACGACGAGCAGGCCCTCGAGTACGGCATCACAGCATCCATGGAGCGGGACATCCGGAGCCTAGAGCAGGCCGGGATTCTCGCCCAGGAGTCGCTGGACTTCGACAACGAGGCCTACATCCAGGACGAGGGCGTCAAGAAGGCACTGTCCTCCAAGGAGAGGCGGGCCCTGTGGCTGGCCCAGAAGGCCTGCCGACGGAACAGCCCGGACACCCGCCGGCAAGGACATGCCGAAGACGCCACCGCGCCCAAGGAGAGCTCCCAGTTCCTATCAGTGGACAGAGCGGACAGCCTCAGGAACCACCATCGGAAACTGGAGCGGAATTTCAGACCCAGGGATCCGGCCCACGGCGTTGTCTCGCAAAAAATCAAACGATCAAACAGCGAAGATTCGGGGCAGACGGTACACACTGTGAAAGTCGACATCGAAAATGGTGGGTTAAATGTTCGCAGAGTAGACGGGTTGAAAGGAGACCATGCAAAAAAGAGCACGGAGATGCCGCGCTACAGTAAAAAACAGAAATCGGCTGATCAGAAAGACACGAATGAGGGGAGGGAAAAACAGTTAAGAAATGGTGGACTTATCGGGTCAAAGAGCTGCGACACCGCCATTTCGACAGGCACTCGGAAGACTAAGAAGAAACGGCGCAGCTCCGTGCCACAGGAAAAGGAGAACAACGCCTACAACGTGAAGCTCTCGCCGATCAAAGGTCAAGGCGAGGGTCACGGCCTGAGCAGATCGAACCGTTTTGATGTGGTCAGGGAAAGGATGCTGTCCGAGATGTCGAGCCTGCACGGCTCGGGAGAGCTGTACGACATCCCAGAAGAGGAGGGGGAAGAGGTCCAAGAGACCAGTTTTACTCCCAGCCTGACCCAGCCGAGCGAGGATGTCCCAGAGGAGCTGATCCCGGACAAGCCCTTTGAACAAAGCACTCCCACGCCGAATAAGACGGCCAGGGCTGGCAAGAAGCAAAAGAAGAAATCCAAGGACAAGAGGTACTCGAGGAGGAGCCTCGAGAAGAGCAGCAGCATCGATGTGGAGAACGACCCCCTCAGCAAGGAGGAGGAGTGGTTGAAAAGGGCCATCGAGAGGGAGGAGGCGTCTGGTCCGTTCGCCTTTGAGAACATCTCCAGTGAAACAGACACCACGGACGGCGTCAACTCAGAGTACAGTGGTTACATCACCTCCCGCAACAGCAGTGTGGTCTCTAAGATGTCCACCTTCCCTTCCATTGACGCCTCTTTGGAGTACGACATGGATATGATAGTCATTGAACAGGTGCACCTAGAGGCAGCGCCCGCAGTGGTCGAAAATGATCAGGAAGATGAGCAGACTGCGAACTCCGCTCGCAAAGTGGCCAATATAGCTGGCGACGAAATTGCACGGGATCCTGAGTCCCTTGACAGTATCGGAGTGACCGTTCAGGGTGGCATCGCGCAGGCCGACGATGCTGCTCGAGTCCCTACGACCTCCGTGGAGCCGGGGCAAAGTTTGCAGTCAATATTGCCAGACTTTGACGACAGTATCAAACGTAAGAATGATAAGGACGCAGTGAGCTTCATCAAGACGGCTTTGACCAACCTTCCGAGTGGGGAGAGCGACCCCTGGGCGAACCAGTCGGGGCGGCCTCGGGCCAACTCCGCCGGTGCTGGGCGGACGTCAACCGCCAAGGACATGCGGGAGAAGTACAGGAGGTCTCGGTCAGAGAGGATAATCCTAGAGCCTATCACCAACTCAGACTCTTCGCAGGAGATTTTATACTTGTAACATTCAGCCTTAACCGACATCATCATCATCATCTCAGTCTCTACCAAAAAGTGAACAAACATCAATTCAGGCTTTTCTTAATATGACAAAAGTTTTTAAGATTTCGTATATAAATGCAGGTATCTGATTCCTAATACCACTTTTTGTTCTTACTTTTTTTTTACAAGAAAAATGTAGGAGTTTACCGTTTTAACCCTAATAGAGCTGGGTTTTTTCAGGCCACTAGTTGTGGAAATCCACTCTGGCTCCTTTTTGGAATGAAGCTTCTTTCTTTCCGAACACAGATTTAACTGAGGACATTTTGAAGACCTCTCAATACCCTCGGTATTCATTAAATTGAAAATACAAAAAAAATATTCGAACAAATCACTGATGCACAAGTCACCGAATGGGAAATGTACCTAACTAATCCACCGATAAGTCAGCAAGCGATTTCCACAAATCCTACCAACAAACTAACGTAGGCTTCTGTATGAAAATTGATCTAGAATCCTCATTTTTATCATCATCTGTGCTTGTAATAATTCATTATCCGCCTCGAGCAGTAGCACCCCGTCGTCATTTAAAAAAGCCGCGTTGGTCAGGAGTTTTCGATTTGTTAGGAGCGATGCGACCATAAAGCGTGCATGTCATAGTCTTTCGTGAATCAACATAGTTCAATTGCGACTAAGGGAGTGGACTGGTCTCCGCCCCCTATTACATAGGTACCGGTAGCTACCTGGCGTCTGGGTCCGTGGTCTGTTCAGCTCTGCTCATGCACGATTGCCTTTTCTATTTATAGAGATGATGTGTACCTACAACCTTTTGTGCGTGTGACAGCCAAACACATGGCTCTCAGGAAGACTTCAGAAACTTTTTCCCCTGGTCACTCCTAAAAAGCAGGTAAATACGCCTGAAAGTTGTGTTGCATACGGAAATGACTCCGTAGAGAGAGTGTTAGTGCATTCTAGAACGTCTTTCAAAATTTTGTCAAGTGACAGTGTTGCATTTGAGGGACGTTATATGCTAATTTCCATTTGCTCATTTACATAAAACCGGCAAGATTCCTCCAGAATTATAACCCGCTACCGGTAGGACCTCTGTAAAGACGTCTGGAGACTACGTTTTGGACGGGAACCTGTCTACTAAAGGAGCGCCTGCATTGCTTAGAAAATAGCGTCCTCTCTTGATCCAGCTCGGGCTCTCCGCTCCTTAATGATGGTCCGAACAAAAAAAGTGTCCATTAAAATTTAAATATATAAGGACGGTATTTATGACTAACAGGGCTTTGAAGAGGATACTCTTGTATTTTTAGTCAGATTACTGCCAAACACAAAAACAGATTCCACCGTTTCAGTTTGAATTCAACAAGAGATGCTGGCTGCGCTGGGCACTGAAACATGCTGAAGAGTTACCCTCGTTTACAGAAAGTGGCTCAAACTCAATTTCGAGTTTTTGTGTTAATCGCGCGGAAGCACATCCCTGGATCGCCGTAGGCAAACGAAATACACTGAACGCATCATTGAAGCCAAAAGTGCCATCTTTAAACCTTATAAGCTACAAAAAGACCCCGTGTTATGTTTTCGAATGGACAGTATTTGATTATCTCTGTCAGTTTCCTTGTTCTTTCTGAGGATTTACGTCCCGTATCTCCATTTTTCCCCTTGTTCAGCCTCTCTCTCTGTCCACTCCGCACGTTTCTGACTTCTTGTAAGGAATCTCCTTGTTCATTTCCGTGCGCCTGATGACACCTAACTTTTCCTCTGCAAGAGACGCCATTGCCAGCTTGGTATCGCACGTGCAAGCATTTTCGCAAGTCACAAAATCCCGGTCGAAAAGGGTTGTCGCTAGACCTTGCGTGCCTGCGTGTTGCGTGCCTGCGTGCCTGCGTGCCTGCGTGCCTGTGAAATTTAGCTGGTACGCATGCTTCCACGCGTATAGGACATGCATGAGCACTTGTGTCACCGCAGCAGTGGTCGTCCGATTATCAGTTTTTGCGTAGGCTATGTGTTCCTAAAGGCCACGTGTTCTGTTGTCTTCGGGTCAACTGCGTATATTAGATCTGACATTCTTGTCTGTACTTGTTATTTTTTTCGTTTTGTGATGACTGGCAAGTTGACGGTGGTCCCCGATCTTCATACCAAAAGGGAAGCCAGTGGGAGAAATATAAATGAAAGCACTTAATCCATCAGGAACTTTATCAGGTCTGTCAAAAACAAGAGCCTCTCAACCACCCACCCACAGAAAAGAAATTCATAGGCCCACATGAACAGCGATTCTTAGAAAAGTCAGCACCTGCCGTTAGCCGAGTCTTGCCTGCAAATATATGGCTGCATTTCAGATACCTTCGTGAAATTATATGCAATATTTTTAAAGTATCTCGCGTCATCAAGTAAATGTCCGTGTAACTAGTAAATTAGTAATTAGTAATTAAATAATTTTTAATGAAAAGAATTGTTATGCTGTTGAGAAATCCTGACCAGGAATGTGATATATACGGATGGTTTTTGAAAGGTTTTCCTGTGTTTGGAGATTTCAGACAGTATTGAAGGGTGTCCCGACCCGACAAAGTTTTGGTTAGATATTTTATGAACCAGTAATAGCTGCAAAAGCACACTTGTTTGGTCCGGGCAAATAGTGATCAAGAAAGTGTGACTTTGTCTTCTCAAATCTGATTTGAAGAAGTAAAATTCTAAACTTGCTCAACCGTCAGTGTTATTCTACTCTGAGTGACAAGGGGGCGTTATATTGAACGGAAATTAGTCATTTTCTCGATCCAAATTATAAATCAACAATAGCTGCTGAATGTTAGCTCTGTACAAACAAGTCTTGAACTTTAGAATAGTGCGCGGGAGTCATTCTGGCGATTTCTGTTGTACGTCGTCCCGAGGGACCCCACAACACTGTGATGAGAGGAAATCCCAAACGACAAACGCCTCTGTCTATTTGTAGAGCACAAAGAAAAATACAGCTTCAGTTCTTACATTCCTTAATCACGCCAGTTCATGAATTCACGGTTGTTTACCCTTCGCCGGGAGAATTTCTTCGGTTCAAAATGCACGCAGGTCCCCGACCTTCTAAGGTGCCGATGCACTTATACGTGTATTTTAAAGCGCAATTAATTCCAGTCTGACGGAAGAGAAAACAGACGGAAATGAAAGATCCAGGGCTTCAAACACAAAAAAGATTACAGATCAAAATACGTCTTGGATAAAAACCCCAAAGGCGTGACTGTATTCACCCGTGTACTTTTCAGTTTCACTCATAGATAAATATTTGTTATTCTTTTGAGTTTCCGTCTTTTTTGTTGCGTGCAACGATTTGAAAGACATACTATTTTATGCTCTTTGTACAGTGAAACTACAAACTTGTTTTTTATCCGTGTGACTTTTCTTGTACATGTACTATTCACGGTGAACTATTCTAATTTTTATATACAGGGTACATAGTAACATCTTGTGCATGAATTGCCTTGCTATTGTGCCTCGATATGTTTTTTCGTGGCTATCCTCTGTACAAACTGAATTATTATTGTATTTGACTGTTAAGAAGTCTGTGTAATTGTAACGGCCGTCTTTGTTGTCGCCTGAGCAAGTCTGCTGAGGGCATGTTCGACTGTTTCCCAGTCAAAACTGATGACACGTTTCAAATGAATGTCTCATTGATTCCCTTTTTGCGGTTTCGACTTGGTATAGGCCTAAGAGGATATCAAAATTTCTCCGACGTACCTGTCCTAATGCTTGCGATTTTAAGGAGGTTACTGCTGACTTTAGTGTGTCGTTTATATCACGTAGTCTTTGCATATCGTTTGTCCAAATCCTAATGGAATTTATTGTCATTGTTCTATTCCATGAATCGTCATGGACTCTGTTTAAACTACGAAAGTGAAATATTTGATTGGTTATCTAGTTACGTGTATCTGATTGATAATTTGTTGATCACGTTCTATGCGCCTGATCGATGCGTGACTTTCGAGTTTGACCTTTTTCTCGAAGCTGTCACAAGAACGATGGAAACGGCGCGTGTTGTTGGTAGGTTTTGGGTGAGGAGCAGTTCACATGCTGGATATCAAAAGTGACCCATTCCAAAGGGTTGAATGTTTTAAAGTTTTTGCTCCAAAAACAGGTAAGGGGAGTGCAGCCAGTCATTTTTTAGGGAGGCAGAGGTTTTAATATACAGGTATAATGCTACGTGTACTTTTTATCATTGCTTTTTTGTGTGAATGTTTGAATTCATTCCTTTGTAATCTGGTTAAGGAAAAAATTCATAATATACAACGTTAGATCAAATTTTTTATCGAAATGTGCGTCATTTCAGCAACCATACACCAGCTTTGTCGTCTTGTATCGTTAATTAATCGGAAAAAATCCTACCTTTTGAAAATGGAATATAATTTTGAATATAAAAGTATTTTACCGTCAACGGTCGGCGTGGTTTGCGATTTCCAAAGAAAAGTAAGTATTGTCATCTTCAATTTCTCTAGCTCTATTGTATTTCTGAATATCCTAAATAACATGCTAAATTTAGAGCGGAAAAACCTGCACATTTCCCGACAAGTAATCGTTTTCATCGGGCGTGTATGTTTTTTTAATTGCATTGCATTATCGTATTAAACCCATCCGGCTGCATAACTTGCCATGTGAATTTTAGCATTTAGTGTTAATGGTGGTATTTCTGTGAGAGAAATGCGTATGGTGAGCACACAGGCAACAAATCCATTCTTAAAAGCTTTCGTGCCACGATGAGATTAAAAAATAAAGCTGGAAATTCATCTATTGGCAAGTGCCAGGTCGCTCTTTTCCTACCTTCTGATTGGTCGGTGCAACGAGTAAGTGCAGACACGGTGCTTGTGTTTGTAAACCCGCAATCTAATCAAGTTCATTTGATGCAAGTGACAAAGGTAGTGACGCTGAAAGTATTGGACTAAGCCGACTGAAGATTGCTTGGCAAATTAGACCCCCCTAAACTTGGTATTATTGGATCCCGTGCATAAAATCAGTTTACTGGGTGGCAATGTTACATCGCGAATTATCCATTTCCAACCTTTAAGTTAACCTGTCACGATTCCTTGGCAATGAATTCTCGAAAGGCCTAATTCGATTTCCACATCGACCACAGTTGTAATGATTCGAGTCGATGACTCGACTCGAGTCCGACTCAGGTCACCTTTTGGGCTTTTCGACTCGACTGGAGTCCCGACGGGTACATGACTCGACTTGAGTCGAGTCCCTCATCAAAGACCCGGCTCGAGTGAAAGTTAATAAGATCCGAGCCCCAAAATTAAAAGCAAACTTCTTGGCGAGAAAAATACTTGCAATGACTAACAATGCAGGTTCATAATATTTCTATCATATGTCATTACCACCAAGAGTAAGATATGATGCAACCACTTGCAGAAATCAAGGGTAATTTTTAAAATGTCAAAAATGACTTTCTCTCTAGTATTGTGCTCAAATACTGGTGACTTGAACTGACTCGAGCTAAACACTTGACTAGAATTGACTCGAAAATAGGCTACTAATACTCGTTAAAACTCTGATATCGACGTGAAGAGAAACAGGGAGCATCACTGATCAGTCCCTGGCTATAGCCTGTGCAATGATGTGGACTCGCTTCATCGTGACTGACGCCATTTTGTTCGATTTTGACCGATTTTTTTTCAACTTCACTGACCGTCTGCGTCCCGTTGTCAGAGCAGGCCCACACAGTACAAATGTTGTGTCGGCATAACAGGCGTACAACGATGTCCCCTCGCTTGAATACTGCACATTTTGCCTATTATCTCCTTTTGACTGACAAATGAAGCCTCGATTGTCAATGAAATACCTGAACAAAAGTGTAACACATCGTTCGAACAGCAGTTCCAACTTAGCTTCAAGAAATGGCAGAACCTCCGAAAAATAGCATGTTGTACAAGCAAGAGCTGTCACACACTGTCTCAAATGTGACGGCCAGCGCCTTGACCCCTTGCGTACTCTCCGCGTTCGCTACAACCATAATGAAAAGTAGGCTCAAGATAAAACGATAATTGAAACGCTTGGTAAGTTTAGCAACGACGCCATCTTGGACCTTTACACAAATGGGTCTCGAGATCGACCGAGACATTTTAGCACCACAGATGACCATTGTTTCCTTTTTGCCTGTAAATGGAGTTAAGGCCAACGTAGTTTTATACCTGCACACAGTTAATTGTTATACAAGATGGGGAATGTCTCCTTAGAAATCTGCATTCCCGAGGAGAAATTAACTTAAATGATTTGCACTCTGTCGATTTAATTATCACGAGAAAATTATCACGAGTTCATGTAAACGGCTAGTCGCGCAGATCGGAATCCCAATAATCTGTTACTCGAATGAATATTAAACATTTCCACCGTTTGAGGCGCTTCTTGTTTCCAATGCAGTTTCAGTGATTAGGGTTAGTTTGTAATCTAAAATACATCCATGTGCCTTTGGGCATCACAATGGAAAAAATACAAAATGAAAAAAAGAAACTGAGGAAAGTGACAGAAATAGAAAAGCGATGAGAGGGGATGAAAATCACTCAATTTTGTTGAAAACCTAAATGGACATCCACCAGCTGTTTATTGTTTATCATTTTATTAGCTGCCGAGTGTTTTTCTCGCCCTTAGGATTTTTAGCCCTGACAAATGTGGTTCGCCACCCCCCCCCAAAAAAAAACCAGATCCCAGCAATGCACATGCATGTGCCCCCTAAGATAAGTGTTGACAAATACGAAAAATCTCAAACTAACGTACAAGCTTTCTTTGCACTTTCGGTACGTGACGGCCAATGACAGAGTTTGCACCATGACCAATGGCCGTTGCTTCTTACCTGTGCACACGCGCAATGCAGCTAAATTAATTGGCCATATTACGTGTTTAAAACATCTGATATAAGACGTAAAATGGAAATATTTTGCATGGATGTTCGGTGCCATAAATATTTATTCTCAACATTAACAACGATATCAAAAGCATTGCTTTGGTCTCCAGTAGTTTTGAAATAAAATCCACAGCCACAAAACAGAAAATCCTTAGCATGTTGCTAAAACACTGGCCATGAAGCAGTTGTGCCCAAGAAACTGACTGGATGTGTTGGCTATAATAAAGTTTATTACGAGAGCGGGACGAACAGCCCCGATTCCAGCCACTCCTTTCCAGTGATTTGAATCTCCTTCTACACGCGCTGTCCATGCATGGCGATATTGTTCCAGCAGTACTAGAGACAATAGCATAAAAGCACGAAAAGGGGGTTTTCAGCTGAAAATACCACAAACAAATTGACAGCTAATAAGATTTTGCATCGAATAAAAACAATAGTAGTGATGGAAAGGGACATAAATTTCTTTTTGATTGCTTGTTTGGTTACTTTTATCACAAAACTATTTGAACTGAGTAAAACTTTACAGAATGTCCTCATTTGCGTGTGAACATTTTCAAATAACATTTCAGATTCAAAAGGTGCACAAATGAAAAGCTAATTCAATCTAGAGACGTAAAAATAATATCGATACACAAGATACTGAATTCCAAGCAAATGCCTGAAAATCTTTATAAAATATTTTATCAAAATGGAATGTTTGTCTGTGAAATTTTATCAAGTTACGAATTCGCCACTTAAGACCGAACTGATCAGTGCTCAGAAGTTCAAAGGTCAATGTGATCCGTCACAGTCGCCAGAGATCCTTCCGGATTCAGAAGTGATCTCAGAGACTCCGGTTTGGGGATTTCATCTTTTCCCGCCTTTTGCCTGCGCATCATCATTTCACCGTAGCGGACAATGTCGTCGTTGTAGCGGGCGCTCTCCCGGAGCGCTCGGCTGGCCCTCATGCGGCGGTTTTTAAAGCCTTTGGCGGGAGGGTCGTCACTGAGTCGACTTCCGTCGCCGTCAATGTGAGGTGTCGTCATCTCCTTGTCAGTGCCGGCATCTATCGTCACGCCACACTGTGCGCTGTCGTCCACCTCTGGGAGGTTCAGCTGCGGTACCGACACAGCCTCGTCGGTGGTCTCACCGCTCTCACCGTCGAAACAAAACGAGTAGGAATCAGTCTCCTCGAAACTCGACGTGCAGGGAACGAATCGATTCTTCTGCATGCAGAACTTGAGGGACGTCTTCTGATTGGCTGATTTGATGTGGCATTGCTTTGTGCTGCTCTGTAAAGTACATGTATCGTGGGCAAGCGGGGGAGAGTCTGGCCGGAGTTCTACCACCTCGACGTGTATTCGCACCATTCCGTTGCAATGCTCGATTACCGAGCATGGCTCGACCCTCAGAACACTATTCCTACCCGGCAGTGACTCTTTAAGGCTGTATCCCTTAGACAATGACTCCAGCTTTTCAGTTTTTGACGTCGCATCATCGGTTACTGTCGCACCGCCGTTTCTATTCGAAATATCCTGTTCTTCCACTCTTGCGGCATCTTTTGTCGCGTCGTTTGTTTCAGCGTCTAGTCTGACACCTTTTGCGTACCTGGAGTTGAGCAATTCACAAGAATGTTCGGCTGTACTAGTGTCTTGCACCGCATTGGTGCTGTCTTGGTGGCTGGGCACGAGTATGAAACTCGTCTCTTTGCTACATGCATCATCGCCGCGTGTTAAATGCTCCGCCGCATCGGACACCGAGGTGGACGATTCTGACTCGACCGTCTGCAGCCGAATAACGGCCGGACTGTTGCTACCGCTGGGGGCGCTATCCAGTTGTATGGAATCCACGTCAACTCCGCTGTCTGAAGTCTGGTTCTCGAGAGGTCGCCTTGGGGTGCAGGCACCTGGGTTCTTGTCCTCGCGCATGCGCAATCTTGTCGGTAGAGAGGGGCTTCCAACAGAAGCGGCCCGGTGCACGCTCAGGGACGGCGCGGCTTTGGCGGCGGAGGCGTCGCCGGGCGCGTCCTCGTGGACAATCTCGACCCTGACTGGTCCGTCCTCCGCCGCCTGGTCCGAGCTCGTGGCATCGTTCCCGTCGAAGGCAGGGTTGTCCTGCCCTGTGTTGCTCTCAGCATTGGGGGCGCCCTTCAAGCTGTCTGTAGCGGACCGTTTGAGGTGAGGGCGCTTGCTGTACAGTCGCCTGTTCAGACCTGGACTCTCCCATTCCTCCAGTGCCATCTGATGTGAGATACGGTGCATCTCGCTCACTGGAAAAGTAAGAAGGCAGCACTCGGTTGATTTATAATTCTTGTTCAGGATTTTTTTCCTCTCCACCTTAACACTAAAATGTAAAAGCATTGCAATGTTTTTAGGCTGCCGTAATCCGTCGCAGTTCTAAACTTAACAGATCTTTAATTCGTGAGTAGGATGTGCGCCCAGGGCTTCCCAAAGGGTGAATTTTACTTTTTTTTTCTTTGAGATGCCATTAGACTATCTGGCAACGTAAAATATCTCTAGATAAATTGTTTGTCAAATGGCCGTCAGGCGCACGTGTTTCCAATCGAGAGTAGGATTTATCGCCCCTGGCAGTTATCATTAGACACATGTGGCGGGAGAGAAAAGGCCACGACCTGCCTTGAGGAAGACCACGACACGCGTGGTCGTTGACCGCCGCTAGATGCAAGAACACTGGAAACCAAATTATTGCTTATTTCAAACAACTGAAGCTGGTACAAAATATGTGACCTTTGCGAGAAAACAGAATCGTTAACACCAAGAAACAGTAATGTCACCTTACTAGTTTCCTTGAAAAAATAGTTAAGTTTCCAAAACATTTAATGTAGGCCTAAGCACTCACAGAAAGGGTAAATGATTCTGCGACCAGAATGAATTATTAAGGTAATGAACAATGTTTCACACATTTCAGTAAATCTGAGGCCTCACCTGAAAGACCCAATGGAGGGCGTTCGTGCCACTCAAGTCCACACGGGTGGAAAGGCAAGCTGAGCGCCCACTTATACGCCTGGCGGTAGTTGCCGCAGAGTGCTGCGTAGACCAGCGGGTAAAAGATGGAGTGCGCCATCATGAGGCGGACCGTGACCAGGCTCAGTGTTGAGTTGTAGTTGTCCACTCCAGTGATTAACTCAATCAACATTGTGATCTGTAGTCATAAAAAAAAGAACATCAGCTCTCATCGTTGAACAAAATCATCTTGCTTCAATCAACCTCCATGAATCGACACATTCGTGTGAGGGTATATGTGACGGGGTATTCGCTCTTTACACGCTGCCGCCGTAGGCATGCAGAGCCTCGATCTGGTAGCTTGTACAATGGCGTCAGAATCGCGTCAACGCAGCTTTCCAAATATTATTGTCCAATTGCATGGTATGGGAGCTGACGCAGCACGTGCAGGATTACTGAGCAATGTACAAGGGCATCACCGAACCGGCTTGTGTAAAGGTCGAGATCGAGGCTCTGCATGCCTATGGCGGTAGCGTACAAAGAGCGAATAGGCACGACCATATAAATGCATAGACCAAAAAAAATTGTTTAGCGAGTGGCGGCGCAAGATGTAGAACTCGGCCAAAAATGTGTTATCACCATGGGCGCCATTCGAGTGTGAATGTTAATGCATAGGCGCAGGAGTCCAGGTGCGCGTGCCTGTGTCGCGGTACGGCGTCGCAATCGCCTGCGCTTGTGTTGGTAACATAGCGTATTCACACGCAAATGGTGCCGATGCGATAACAACGTTTTGCACGTATTCGCGGTGAAATTATCTATGTTGCACCGCTGCACGGCACTATACAGTCTTTGGCACAGACTGCCAGTCTTGCTCGTGTAACCGTGATTTTGAGAAATATGGGCAAACAATAGGTGAAGTGACGGATGGCAGCGTGTTCGGTGCGCATAAAGCGCAACGCACTTACATTGCTTTTTTTGTTTACATGTTTGTCCAAAATCCGTTGACCTTTTTTGCTCTGCTACACTTCTGTCTTTTCTTTTCAAATGTTTCCACTGAATTGTTTTGAATTCCTAATGGCCAGATTAAGTAAAAAGAGGTTTTCTTTTTAAATAAAAAAAATGGATTCATGGAATTTTGTGGGTGAAAGTTTTCAACTTTGCGTGAATTCCCTATCCACTCCAAGCAGATCAAGAGAGGGTGTGTTTTTGGTACTCACCGCATAGGCGCGAGTTTATAAGGGGATCAATGGCACGTTTGACGTCGAGTACGCTGAGTACGAGTAACGAATTTATTCTTTAACGTATGGCCTTTGTGTACACGCACAACGCGTGCAAGCAACCGCTTGGAAAACTTATTATTAAACCTCATAAATATTCATGAGCAAAGCGGAGCGCTTCTTTGGCCGATTTCACCGTGCGTCTGGGAGGTAGAAATGATACGCGACCAGGTGATGTCATAGCGGTGAGTATCCACCCCGCTGCCGTGGAGTGTTTTTTTTTCTGGTAGCATCAAAAAATCCCTCTGGAACCTTCCGCGTAATATGTAGTTTGTGTCATGTTATCTTTACGGAACCAGTCTGGAGTTGTATTCTAATAACTATCAGAGTAAAGACCCAAAACGTATGTCAGCACCAGACTACTGAAGCCCTGTTTCTATGCACATCTGCACTCCACTATCATTACGTGGAAATTTAACAACGGAGAAACAACAATAGCGTCTGTGAGTACAAGTAATGTGAGATTTCTGTTCCCCTCAAACCATGCTGTATTTGTATACTACCATCTGTCTTTCTTTTGCCGCTTGGGGGTGCACTTCAACTCGATGGCGGATACTTGCCCATAATTTTGATTTTGGTCGGGCGCCGTGCAGATCACGAAAAACCTCTTTAGCTTTGAATAGGACCTGGCGATCTATGCGTTTATGTCTGTGGGTATAGGCTAGTATAGGTAATTCACAATAGTGCGCCTCCAAGAGTTTGCAATGCGTTGACCAATCACAGTGCCTGAAATCTGTCATTCCAATGCGCGTTTGGAAAGGGTCGACAGATTTCGCGCCCTGTGATTGGTCAACGCATTACAAACTCTTGGAGGCGCACTATTGTGAATCAACTATTTTGCAGTATCCGGTTTCAACTACATAATGTTCATCCATGTTCGTTTCCAAAGGCACTACAGGTTTATGCTCGATAACCAGTTAATATCGGGGTTTCTTCCCCGAAAAAAGCTGCTGGGGGCTTTTTTTCTCACGTTATTTCTGGCGCCCATTACAAGCTTGACTACTTTGATTGGTGGAAATTCCGAGGCTGACTAAACGTAGATTGGTGGAAATTCCGTATACATTATACGGACTTCCTGACTGGTGACAAACGTTGTATAATTTTGACGTCGCCGGATTTCGCGGAAAAGCCATCAAATGAGGGCGCATTGTTAGAGGTTATGCGAGCGGCCAAGTGCAACGACCGTGTACTGTGCATGTGAAGGGATAGTTGACTGGGGAAGAGCAACGTAAGTCTGACTTAATTCAAGTCTAGCATTCCCTGCAAGATAAGGAGATACACATGTAGAATGGATATCTAATGGCTTGATTGGCAACCTGCTTTTTCCGCTCATTCAAATCACTCTTTGCGATAGCCATCTGCTGCGTGCCATTTCTGTCAATTAAAAAGACACTTTGAGAGCGTCGTACCTTGCGTTGCGCATGAGCAAACAAAAGTACTTGCTCTACAAACAACAAATGATGGGAGCGTGAAGCCTTTGTGTGAAGAATGGCCAGTTTTACATAGAACGAATTTCACAGCTGTTTATCAAGAGAGTTGCGACATGAATGTCTCAATTGTTGGAACCAAAATGATGGGTTACGTTTCAGTGCAATGGAAAATTAACACACAATAGCTGCATGCTGTACTTTACGCAAAATGAACAGCTATTTAGGTTCCAAAGTCTGAAGTTAGCGTTAGTCTCTCTTTCTTTGTAGCTCAAACTTAAAATACACGTCGGGCAAGGCAAAAATCTAAAATTAATTTAGCTCAACGTTGATGACTCCATCGATGACTGTGACATACAGGTAAGAAAAATAACGGGGACCTTGGACTATTTCCCCAGTGAAAAGGAGAAGCGACACATTGATAATAGCCGAGCAATTCCTGCACCACTTTGATTGCCATGCGCCATTCAGCCAGTCAGATTGGTACACACCGTTATCGTGAAAACACGTCGCCTGAAACATGGCTTTGTCTTTATGGTCAGGGCGAATGCTGCACGTGGACGTCGTAACGGAATTTGATCGTCCGCCTGGCGCCAGGGCCAGGTTTGGTCATAGCCGATATTATTCATCCGAAAAGCCATTTTCTACGAAATTCCATTTGTGCCATAAAATGAAACATTCCAAAAGGTTAAGCGATTTTTGTCCAAGTTCGTTTTACCTGATTTTAAAGTTCGTTTTCACGAGATCTATTTTAAGAAACACTGTATCTATTTTCGGAAAAGAATAATTTGTACCCGAAGTTTTTTCCCAAATCTTGATTTACGAGAAATATACTTTCAACACTGCAAAAAGTGGGGTGTTAAATTTAACACCCCCGGTGTTATCAGGAGACTACACCAACACTTTTCACTAGTGTTAAAATGTTGGTGATATTCGGCGTTACTTTCAACACCCTCCAGTGCATTGTAACACCTGTAGGTGTGCAAAGTAACATCAGCGGTGTTAAAGTAACACCTTATGGTGTGGTCATCTGATAACACCAAAAAGTGTTGATTTTAACGCCAGAGCTTTTAAAGCTAAGTTTGGTTTTGTATCTCATCAAACAAACTTGAAAAATAAAAATAAAATTATATCTCATATAAAAAGAATTATTCTAAATTAGAGTTCGTTTCATTGATATTTTTCAAGTTGGTTTTGACGAGATATATTTCTCAGTTTGTTTTTGTAGCTCCAAAATACATCGTAACAACCTTTCCCCTAACAATGCCTCTGAAAACAAACTTGGGAAAAAATATACTTCACAAGTGGAGAGTGCAAATAAAATATGTTTTCGTAGCGTATTCACAGTCGCTTCAAATTTCAGGGCCTGTTTTAGGCCTTGATACTAGAAGCCCCATTCAACCACGAGGCTAACAATACGGATGCAACCACCAGATGATTCTTTTGTAGCTTCCTAGTTAAATTGTAGCGTCTCATTTCCACAGGGAAATCCATGAGCAAGCAGCTTGGAACGCGCAGGGACCTCTTGCTACCCCCAGGTGAGGGGGAGGGAGGCAGAAAAACTCTCTTCCCGAAAAAAAAGCTTTCAAGACATCCAAAGAGAGAGTTTTGTTACGTTTATGTGCAATCTCATAACACAGTGTACCAGATTTTATTCCGATTTAAGTCGCAAAAGGCTTATTGGATCTGACAGGGATTTTTTAAGGGAAGCCGCAATGAGCCTTTTTACATACTATTTTGCTGCAACTTCAATGCATGAACACTCGTTTACACTTCCATATAATTAAATGCACTGAAAAGTGCATTTTTTTATAATTAAAATTATCCTTTTTTCCTGGAAACTGAGGGCGCTGTTGCCATTCCAGGGAAGACTTGGTTCATTGCATAGGTTTTTCTATTGAAATGGTGGACCCCAAAGTTACTTACTGAAGAAAAAATTCTGAGAAAGCACTGGTGCTCATTTAATGACTGCACGTAAACAACATGACAGTGAATCGGCAAAGAAGAGAAAATTTAGTCAAGCGAAATCAACAAAAATGCATGACTTTTTTGTGTACAAACCAATGTAACATTAGACATTTTTTCTGGAATGACATCACAGTTTGTGCATGAATGTGGACATCTCATTACCATAAACATAAAAAGCAAATGACCCTTTGAAATAGTGAAACAAAGTTCAAAATAAGGGTAACTGAGAAACAAAGGGTGCATTCTGAAAGTACGCATTTAAACAAATTGATTGAAGCGATAATGTTTATTCGGCTTCAAAATAATGAAGCATATTCTCTCCGTCATTTGTGAAAAACCCTAAGAACTGGGCTGATCCGATGACATCCACAAGCGATCAAAACACCAGTCAAGGAATAGTTTTAAAATATAGTGAGCAGGAAATAGCCAAAAAAGAGAACAATATCTAAATTCACAGAGTACAGCTGAAAATCCAATTAAATTTTAAAATCTCTTTAGCACTCGACAATGGACAATGGCGACTCGAT